TATTCAGCCATTTAGAAAAGGATGTGAGAATGAAATTAACACCCCCCTGGAATGAAGAGGCCCTCTCCCAAATAAAGCTGTTCTTGAAGATATTACAGGAATGGCTTCACTCAATCTACAATCCACACCCTCCTCACCTTTCAGAAACTAACATGGCTGCACATTAATTGTAGAAAGAAGGTTCCTTGTGGAGGTTCTCTGGACGGTTTTCTTCACATTGTCCCTGGCTTGTTCAAATTGCCACACAACCTTCGATGTTGTTGATTGTCCTTTCTTGGCTGTGGAAACATATACTGTCTATTATCTTGTTCCTCATACTGTATGTGGATAATAATAGTTCTCAGTGTTTATGCATTGAAGAAGTCTTTCAAATCACCCCTTTCCCACCTGTGTTAAATCAAGGCGCATAGTATGCAGGACAGGCCACATTATTTGGACACTTGAGGCAGAAAAATCCTACACACCCCTCTTTGGGAGCCAAGGTATCACATAAAATAGTTGTTTGTCCCTGCTTGACACCTGAATTGGCTTTTTTCCTCTGCATCGTACACAGCTGCCCCAGACTTGTGAATCAGAAACAAACTAAGAAAATCATTACTTCTACAGCAAAAGATGGAAAGAAAGCAAAAACTAAAGGTCACCTGAATGACTGACTCCTTGTTCAAGAACTTGCGCTCTCCTGCTGTCTGGCATTCCTTATAACCATCTATTTCCAATCAGATAAAAATTAAAGATGTTAATTTTTTTCTTTCTTTCTTAGGCACAGTCATCTAGTTACTCAATCTCATAGGCTGAACTATAGCTTGGAAAAATTACTTCCATTTCTCAGAATTCCCAGATGGTATGGCCACTGGGCATCCTGGTCCAAAAAAGCTCTGAGGGATATGTGCTCTGTGAAGCACACAAAACAGGTAGGAAATATAAGGAAAACCTTCTCTATAAATCCTTCTAATAGTTTCCCACTCTTAATATATCAGTTTTATTGTCCTTTTATGGCAAGGCATTTCCAGGCATCCTGGTCCAAAAAAGCTCTGAGGGATATGTGCTCTGTGAAGCACACAAAACAGGTAGGAAATATAAGGAAAACCTTCTCTATAAATCCTTCTAATGTTTCCCACTCTTAATATATCAGTTTTATTGTCCTTTTATGGCAAGGCATTTCCAGCTTCTGGTGACCCTGATAGGATTTGTGAAGTACATAAGATTTTCCAGGAGTGGTTTACCTTTGATATTCTCCAGAAAGTTTTGAAGGCGAAGGAGGGATTTGAACCCAGGTCTCCTGAGCCATAGTCCAACACTTTATCTGCTATACCACATTGGCCCTGAAAAATTAATTCAGCTTCCACCACCACCCCCATCCAAGCTTTTCCTTTCTCTGTCATGAAGATCCATGCTGACCATGTTAAGGCTCAGCCTGACTGTTAACTGTCACTTGGTTTGCAGAGAAACAGATCCTCTCCAGAATGTAACCTCATTGTGACATCAGAGAATTCTGTTTCTGTTTGGCCTGGATTGTATCCATGCCAACTGTAGGAACCCATCAATCCTTGTGATTACAGAACCATCAATATGAATCTTCAGCAAAGCAAAGTGTAGTTCCTTTTGGAAAACTTACATTCTGTTCTTCTGCTGTCAGAACAGTGCTCAGAGTAGCATAATAAATATTACAGACTAAATAACAAAAAACACCCAATTAAACATTGCAAAATAAACAACAAAGTAGAAAGATGTAGCAGCATCTAAAAGCAAGGCAGCTCCCAGTAACTTACTAGTCAGTTAAGTTATTTCTCTAATTTTTAAGGAGCTGCCCTATCGTCTGAACCAAAGACAGTCTCCTTAATCTCCATGGATTTACCATATGTCTCATGGAATTCTTGTAAGGGCATTGGTCAAACTGGACATTACGTACATGTCTTGGAAACATATTTGATATGAGACTAAGTTTCTTGCAAGCATGACGGAAATATTTTTAAAAGTATGTTTTGCCAACGGGTTTTGTTTTGGTTGGCTTTTATATGGACATGTGGTATTTCCTTGTACCACTGTACTTTAAAAAATAATTTTGTTTGCTTTCTCTCTCTAGTATTTCAAAGTTCATCATATTATACTCAAAGGCACAAATGGTTAATTTTATCTTGGACTTTGTCATTTCATACTGGACTTTGTAGGAATAAAAACTACTTTTCTATAAAATGATTGTCTTGTTCTCCAACTTCTCAACACTAATTAAATTTGTCAGTATTACCACATGTGCCATGTCCCATATCTTGTATAACTATTCTGTCCTTGGAAACAAATATTTTTACGGTATTAGAAATACAATTCATGCTGCTGTTAATAAATGTACAACACTATGCAAATCAGGTAGGCTTATTTAAATAGTTTGCAAATTTGCATATTATGAAAATTAAATTAATGGACGGTTACACTATTGCCTACTCGGGATTACAAAGTATCTGAAGAAAGGGATTGTGATCCGTGGAGATTCACACTGAAACTAAAATGTTGGTCTTACATGTGCCGTAAGATGTTGGTTTTTGTTCGTTTTCTTTTTGTTACTCATCCTGAAACAGAGTAAGGGTGTGACTACACTGCAAGAGAAATGTGCATTCAGTGGCTTTGAAGTTGCACCAAGGAATTTGGGTCTGTTGGATGAAAAGTGGCCACACCAAGTCATAACCCTGTAGATGGTGCTGCATTAATAGGCAAGGAGACTTACATTGCTTTGTTTATTAAAAAATTAAATGATGTAAATAAAGTAACATGAGTGTTTCCCAGGAAGAAAAGTTCAAAAATAGAAGGCAAACCCTTGGGAGGGAGGCTTTGTTGGGCACAGTATGGACCAGCCTGGCCCTGTGCCCGTGTGTGTTCTCAGTTAAGAAGCAAGTGGTGAAAGGGCTACACAGCTTTTCAAAGCTTTTTTCTTCTTCTATGGCATATTTCTATTTTTGCAGCTTAGTGTTCTTAGAGTGCAACCCTGTGTCTTCCAACACCAGCGGCCTCTAATATCAACACAGCATAGTGAGGACCCTGTATGTTCTCAGCAGACTCCCTCTCTTCCTCCACTGCTCCCACAGGCAGCTGGAACTCAGTCTCCCACCCCAGTCTCTCATCCTGGCCGACACAAGTCTTCCTCAAGACATGGATAATTTATGCCCCTGGGAGAATTTATGCCTCCGAGCTCTGGAATCCCCCAATCCGGAACGTCAATGGGATGCCTCTTTGACTGGCACCCACATTCCAAATGGCCCCCTTCCCCCATGTGGCCCCTCCCTCCCACTCACACCTGCTGAACTGCCTCCAGCTCTGGCTGCAGCAGGGAGGGGCAGGGAGGCCTCCCCCTCTACGTCCCTGCCCCCCCCATCTTCAAGCACATGGAAGCCTCCAGCACCAAAATGGGGAAGACTGGGAAAGAAAGATAGGGTGTTGCTGAGCCTCCTCATTTCCCTGTTCAGACTTTGTGTTTTGCACCCCAGGATGGGAAGGGAAGGGGACTCTCCCAACTAAAAGGTGGCTCCCCCTTGCTTCTAGTGCTGGAGTGAGACTCCGATCATCATAGTGAGAAAAGAGTGTAGGGGTTCCCATCCTCTGAGTAACTATTAACTGGAGACTATCTTTTTGTGCTATACTGTGAGAGGGTATTCTTGTTAAAAGAACGAAACACTAATAGAAATAGATTTAAATAAAAATAGAGGAACGCACCCCACAGTCAGCAGGAACAGAAAGTTTAACAGAGTGCAGCATATCTTCTTCCTCCTTCTTTTCTTCTCCTGCGCCCCCCCCCCCACACACTTGCAAGGCTATTCTAAGAGCAACCAGAAAACTAAGAGAATACAGAAGTTGAGAATACTTCTTGCTTCGCTGCCACTGCATCCAGCAGTCTCAGCAGGAGCCCCACCCCACCAGGAGCTCAGCAGCTGCAACCATCAGGTAAGGGTGTCCAAGGATCCATGAGTGAGGGATGAGAGAGAGTTTGCAAGAAGGAATATGTTGCCAAGTTTTGGATTTTTGGTTAAATTCCTCTGGCCGCAGAATTGCAGGAATTCTCAAAGCTAAATAGCTTCAAGTTCCCCAGAGTAGTCTGCCTCTTTTCTCATCAACTGGCACTTACAGTCTGAATAACTAATTCTGAGACATTAGCAGGAAAAAGCAGGAAAGATTTCATTACTAACAATTCAACAGATGAAACATCAAACTGATAAACATGACTGCTTTCAGCAACAGACTTCAACAAACTCTAGAGGGGGAAAAGCACTAAGCAGAGGGGTGAGGCTCTCTTTGAATGGCTGGTTAGTGCGGGACAGATCGACAGTCACTGCAGCCCAGAAAGGTCCAAGCCAAAATTGCTAAGGCACCATGCGAAGTTGCAAAAACTCCTGCAGAATAAAGGAACCGGGAGGGGGCTCTGTTAGGGCTGCCCATTTTTTCCTTTGGGCACCCTCGGCAATGTCTTTCTTTCTTTCTTTCTTTCTTTCTTTCTTTCTTTCTTTCTTTCTTT